ATTTCATTCAACTTACTATCATAATTTCATTGGTCTCTCAACAATCTTTCAATTATTCAATATCATATACAGAATAAAGAAATTACAAATAATAAATTGCTTGAAAAATCTCTTAAAACCAAAAAAAAAGTACAATTCTTTGTAAACTACAAGGTATTACATCATTTTAATCATAATTATGTAAAATAAAATGGACTTTAGAAAAGTGAAAGCACCGTACAGATGTTGAAGATGACAAGACCCAAGACCAACAATGCCAACGACCGTCTTGATGCAGATTCACCACTACCTCGTGTTTGATTTTCATAGAGAATCTAGTGGAACCTCTCTCGACAAGAGAAAAAAAAGATGTAAATCATTACTAAAGCTTAGTACCTAATTTATCTATATCTAAAACCACCCAAAAAAAAACTATGTATATCTCAATAATGTAGACAAAGGTGTTCGAAGACAGATGGATTCACATGTGATTTTGGGCTAGATCGACCCTTCAACAAACCCCTTTTTTGCAATCTACTAAACAAAGAGGGACCAATAATAATTAAATCCTACAAAAACTTTAGAAAAGCTAAACCGTGCAAAGCTTCCCTTTCTTCAATGTCTACATCAAACCTGACCAAAAGAGCTAAACATTTATTAATCGTGAAATTGGATCAATCGGAATAGTAACGTAACGACTTCACAAAATTAAATGGTATGTGGACAAAAGGAAAGAATCAAGAAAAGTTGATGGGGTTTGGTTTGGTAAATGGTCCCAATTTCTTTTTTTTAAATTTTCCCCAAATTAGTTTTTACCATTTAAGCTATATATAAACTATAGTCTAGCTCTCCAAATTTCCCAATCACTCCGAGTTCTCGGTATTCTTTTGGTATCCTATGCAAAAGGACACCAAGTGAAATTTACTTCGGAAGATTTATAAATAGAAGAAAGAAAATAAAAGATATAGTTACTGTTCTTTGTTTTTTGAACGTTTGTGAAGAAAACTGCAACACAGATATATGAGAGATGATATTATAAACTTCAAATTTTCTTGATTAAATATAATTATATCGCCTCAATGAGTTAATCATTACAAAATCAAAAATTATTTTCTTAAAAAAATCGCAAATCATCGAACAAAATGTTTTTGTGGTTTTCTGTTTTTTTAATTAAAATTTAGCTTTTTAGTTAACTTACTGGATAAACATAAACATTTTGATGTAAATTTACCATTCTATTTTGTAAGAGTGTTAAGTGCAATGATATTTTATATTGGAGTGTTATTTTCCTTTTTTCAACGTTAGTTTTTTTCCCCCTTCTTTTTGTCGTGTGTATCCGTGTACATGTATATAGGTTTGGACATTTGTATAAGAGACAATCGGATATGAAGCATAAACATCCAAGAGAGGGCCATCATGAACATTATCCACTTGGTATCGATGATCGATCGGTTACTTAATAAAAAATAGTATTCGAAATAGTATTTTGGAAAATAGCTTGATGTTATTATAAGGATACATTAATACATTGTTAGGGAGACATGCACGTTACGTTTTACTTGCTTCCCTTGTCTCCATCGTACTTTACAACAAATAAAATATTAAACAAATTAATACATACTAACTCAACCACGTATGAATTGTTTTCATGTCAACCACGTAAATATAATATCATCATATTGAGGATTTTTTTTTCATATTGAGGATTTTATGCATCCATTGTTGTTTTTATCGAGTATACGTAGTAGCTAGCTAGGTTTTTTGGTTCATAGATCTACCCGCATAAAACTGAAACCAAAAGTATCTTTCTGTAAATAATTTCGTTTTCCAAATATCGTGTCACATTCGAAGTATATGATGTTCGAAAATGAAGTATATGATGTTGGAAACCAAAAGTATATTATCTTTACATGTTAGATTCAAATATGCTGACTTCTAGATTCAAATTTATTTTTTGTTAAAAGTTCTAGATTCAAATTTAACTATATAGTTTTCGAAATATGATTATTGGCATGATCGAGTCTATTTTAAGGCATATAAAAAAAACCATGATTAAAACGAACGTGTAGATGTCGTGCGGATACGAAGTTAATATCATAATCAATAGTATCAGTAAAAGATATAAAACGGAATCTTACTCGATTAAACTATGGGTGATTTAGGTGAATAACCCAAAAAAAAAGAAAAATTAGTTTTTTAGAAAGAAGGGTAGAAAGAGATAGGAAGAGAAAAAGAGTGAATAGGGGGGTTAGAGGTTAGATATTTAATTTTGTTTTTTTAAGGTTATTTAGTGCAATTTCTCTTAAACTATACTACTTTCTCTGTCAATGGAATCTTGGTTAATTTAAAAGAGGAAACTAGATTAAACCGACTGCAATTATATCCCAGATCTTAGTTATAAACATATATATTTCACATAATATATTAATATATTTTATTTAATCTGACAAAATATGTATATATGTTATTATGCATGTAATTGATACATCATGCATGTACAAAAAGTCTAAAGTCCTATACACATGACATGTCTCTAGTTTCTTTAGCGGTACACGACATAAATTCTAACCAACCTCTACGTTTAGATCTAGATTAAAAACTTCGAGCTAAAATTTTGAATCCTTTTTATATATCTGCCTAATTTTTGATATAATACTATTTCTTATTAATAATAAAAACTATTTGTTATGTGTATTTGAACTAATATGCATGTTAAAAACTTTGAGCTAAAATTTTGAATCCTTTTTATCCATTGTTGTTTTTATCGAGTATACGTAGTAGCTAGCTAGGTTTTTTGGTTCATAGATCTACCCGCATAAAACTGAAACCAAAAGTATCTTTCTGTAAATAATTTCGTTTTCCAAATATCGTGTCACATTCGAAATTCTTGTCAAACCGGCACTCAATTTTATACTTACCGGTTACACTAATGTGTATGTGTTACTTAAATATTTTATACATCATCATATACAAAGAAGAATATATATTTATTAAGAGTAGTAATACCAAATGGTCCAAAATCTTCAACAAAAACTTACGAAAAGTTTAAAGCACGAACGCTTGAGTAACAACAAACGTTTTTTTGTTGTCAACAACTAAAGTTGTTCCAAAAAGATTTACCGATAAAGTGGTCCAGATCGAAATACCAACCCAAAAAAAAATTGTCCATGCATTTCTGCGTAAGGAAAAAATTCAAAAAAAAAAAGAGTAATACATAATTACATATATTGTTACTTGTGTTAAAAATTAAAGTAAAAAAAGGGGGTTAAAAAAGAAAAAAAAAAAGACAGTGATAGACTGAAAAAAAGATCAGAGAGATTGTTTCTTTTTCTGTACCTTTTTTTTTTGGGCTTTCACTGTCTGATAATGCCAGTCGCATCCATCCACAGATCAACCTTACATCACACTACATGCCTCCTCCAAAGTCGACACGTGGTATATCTTTACATGTTAGATTCTCTGGACACTTAAATTACCTTTGTAACAAAAATCTGCATACACTCACTCATATACTTCATTGTGTATGCTGACTTCTAGATTCAAATATGCTGACTTCTAGATTCAAATTTATTTTTTGTTAAAAGTTCTAGATTCAAATTTAACTATATAGTTTTCGAAATATGATTATTGGCATGATCGAGTCTATTTTAAGGCATATAAAAAAAACCATGATTAAAACGAACGTGTAGATGTCGTGCGGATACGAAGTTAATATCATAATCAATAGTATCAGTAAAAGATATACAACGGAAGCTTACTCAATTAAACTATGCTACTTTCTCTGTTAATGGAATCTTGGTTAATTTAAAAGAGGAAACTAGATTAAACCGACTGCAATTATATCCCAGAACTTAGTTATAAACATATATATTTCACATAATATATTAATATATTTTATTTAATCTGACAAAATATGTATATATGTTAATATGCATGTAATTGATACATCATGCATGTACAAAAAGTCTAAAGTCCTATACACATGACATGTCTCTAGTTTCTTTAGCGGTACACGACATAAATTCTACGTTTAGATCTAGATTAAAAACTTTGAGCTAAAATTTTGAATCCTTTTTATATATCTGCCTAATTTTTGATATAATACTATTTCTTATTAATAATAAAAACTATTTGTTATGTGTATTTGAACTAATATGCATGTTACTGCTTGATTATTTTCCAAACATATGCATGTTAATTACTACTTTAACCAAACAATTGCATGTTAGTAGACTTCCATAAATAAATTTTGAATTCTTTTTTATTCTTTCTAAAAAGTAAAATTACATGCATGTTTAGTCTACATTCGCATTGATAGAAGTTTGATAGTTTCAAAAAATATGTTCTTTGAATATTTTTGTTAAAGTAAAATTAATTCTATATAGCGCTCCCTATTCTTGGTTTGATTCTTCTTCTAAGTGGATGTAACTCTCAATCCAAAAATATGAATATATACCCTCTTTTCCACATTTTTTTTTTTTTTTTTTTTTTTTCATTTTGGAAAGATGACTTTTCTATCTCTCGATTAATAGATGCATATACTATGTAGTCTATGTTAACTGTTTTTGCTACAGTAGAAAACAACTGCTTTTTTTTCTTCTTAAGAATCTATATTCTTTGCTTCCACTATTGAATTTTCTTTACTGTCTAGCTAGCTTTTTAAGCTTCATGTAACACACACGTTTTTTTTGGTTCGTTAATAAACATATTCACTATATAAAAGATACAATTTCTTTTTACTGACATAAAAATAGTCACTATGAATTACTTATTACAGTCATTATTAATTTCTTTATTTCAGTATGCATGTAAGAAATTTCCTTACATCACTATTTCCTCTAATATAAGTTTTTAACTATCTAATTTTTTTTTTGTAAAGACACTTTAACTAATGTTAATAAATTCACATGGCATGTGGCTTAGATTTATCTATCAAGTGTAAATGAAGAGAATTGTAGTAGTGGATTTATCTCTATCGTCGCTTATCTTTCCAATTATATTAAGGTATATACACATATACAACAAAAAAGGCATGTATGTAAAGACAGAAGCACATATATATAAGAAACCCACAAGTCCACTTCTCTAAGAAGATTTGTTCAGGCACACGCTAAAACACACAAACAAAAATAACCCTTCGAGAACATATAAATTTAATATTTATATAAAAAAGAAAAAAAGAATGGATCTTGATTTAATACAAGATCTGCCCATCTTGAATTTCCCACCAGCCATCAAGATCCGAACCAACACCAACAGAGATGATGACGGCGGCGGCTGCACCACTCCTACTTCTTCCGACCACAAGATTCCTCCCACCACAGCCACCACTCCTCCTCCGCCGCCGCAGAAACCCCGTCCACCTTCTACACCGTCGTCTCTCGGCATCAGATCTTGCAAGAGGAAGCTTATGACGTCATTATCCAAGTCGTATGAGATCATCGTCAACAAAGATGAGATCGAGCGGTTCTTCTCCTCCGTTTACAACCAGACGACGACGTCATCCACCACCACCACCACCACGGCCATCACGGTGGCCAAGCGGCGGAGAAGTTTCCGTTCTTGTTCACGAAGATGATCAATAATTGGAAGTTTCATTAAAGGTTCCATAATTTCGAATAGCTTTTTCGATTTTTATTTATTTTATGTAATGTTTTTATCAACTTTACACGTCGACCCACTCTATAAATATACATGTGCGATCGATCGATGGAATCTTTTTTTCTTTAGTAAATTTTGCTAGCTGTTTTGATAACGAATGAACAATTTCACTAGTTTTATTGACATCGTAAATAAATTTCCAGCTAGGCACATGCATAACACAAGTATGTATATCATCATCTTTTAGATAAAAACCTATATCCACTGATAAACATGAACTATTAAATCCTGTAGCATTTACAATTTATTCAGTGGCCAAAAAAGTACATTTTTCATCATTAGCTGATCGGTGTACTTTCTTAAATAAGGATGTATGAATCTCTTGAATTGATAAATAGTATATGAAGAGATTATGAAATTTTGTGTCATGGGTTATGATGGTGATTAATTAAATAAAAGTAACAATTTCAAAACACTGAGATATCACGAACAAAAGGAGAGAAAATGAGTTTGCCTTTGCAAGCAATTATGTTTGTCGGCCACGATATATTTCTATTATGTGTTACCATGTTACGCATAATTATGCCTTCCGATCCGATTAACATAAACATAATTATGGTGGTAGTAATTAAGAAAACAAAATATGACATCATTTTTAAGGTTATCAAAAGTTAGAAAGTAAATACTGAAAATTTTGAAAAATAAGTTAACCAGGTTCAGATTAAAAAGAATAAAGTAGTTACTCAGGCTATAAAAAAGGTTATAAAGTTAAAAAAAAAAATGATAATTAACGGGTGGTTTAGGTGTTGATATGATTTGGTTGATGAGATATGTAAATAGTTGCGTGACTTACGTGTGCTTGTGTAAGAATCCACGAGAAAGATAATGATGCCTTGATCCAACTATTTAAATAAATATTATTGTTATACTTCCATAGAAAAATAGATTGTTGCTTATTTTGTAAGCTAATTAATTAAAGTTATATTGTAATCAAAGAAAGTTGATCGGAAATTCATGTTGATCTCTGACATTTTTGGGCCGACAAGTAGAGCGATAAATACGGCTTTGGGATCTGTAAATTAATGTAATTTAATGAAAATTTAATGTTATGGATGACGTCTCGTAGAAAATTACTCTAATATTCATTAGGGGTGCCCATTCGTCACGTACTCGGAAAATCGGATACCAATTGATAAGTTTACATGTTGAAAAAAATATTTGATTACAAGATTTTACAAAATAGTTCATTTGCTTCACTCTGGTTCTGTTGAAACATTGTTTAAACCAACACATATGCTTTGAAACTTAAATCTGTTAACTCTTTTAAATGCCGTTTTTAGACAAAAAAAAAAAAAAAAATTGAGTTGATTTACCAATTTTTTAAAAGGATTTTATGAATCCCTTGGAGAACTTAAAGGGAAATGAACAAAAGATTACACAAAACAAGATAATCTAATTGAAAATTAGGTAGCATACGTTATACCAGACAATTACCTAACAGAAAATTCATTACCATAACACTATTATGAAAACATGCAGTAGCGATTGAATGGTGGTTGAATTTAGTGAAGTAATGAAGACCCATAAGAAATTTGAATGGTTACTAATGTCTAACATGTCACATAATTTCCACGTTGGATTATTCTTGAATCTATAGCTATGAAAAATGATAAATTCGTCTGATCACTATGCATCTGTCACAATTGAATTTATTATATACAGTTACTGCTAGACATTGGATTTTTTACTGTTTGATTTATCTATTGAATTTTGTTGTCAGTATGTAGCCACTTACTAACATATTATTGGTAAAAATGACCTTTAACAATGGGTTGACAATGGACTAGCTAGTGACGAAATTATTCTATTTCCATAAAATAGCGCACATGTAAACTCCGATTTTTTTTTGTTTTTATTGAAATTATGACATAATTAAAAGTTCATTAGTTCTAATGAAGTAATTATGGCATAATTAAACTTAGCAAGTCAATGCTTGGATACTAGAAAAATTCACAATATATCAAGACCTTTGTATATAATTTAACCATTTGAATCTTTTTAATCCATCAGATTGGTATAGTTTAAAAAATATGAGAGGTCATACAAAAAGGTCAAGGTTAAATAACACAATATAGATAAATTGTAGATTTACTTTTCATGGAGATCTTGTAAATGCAATGTGGATAAAGGTGGGCAAGCACGATGATAAAATACATAGATATTAATTGTAATAGTCATTGTTAGATCGTGCGTAAAAGTCCCTACAATAAAATGTAATACTTTTATACACGCCGTAAAAATCAACATGATTGTTATTCCGGTACAATGAAATCAAATATTATTCAATATTAGTATCCATACAACATGTTATTTAAAATTAGGTAGGCTAGTGGGTTACAATAATTAGCCGGATTCTTATGGTACAATATACCATCGTGAATTCTGCATAGCATTTTTTTTTAAATCATAGTATTATAATTTAAACGAAGGTTACCACACAGCTCACCAAAATATATACAGAATTATTTTTAGTTACATTTAGCAAAACAAAGAAAGAGAAGAAGAAGCTTCATCGTCTATCCAAAATAAACCTGAAATATAAACGGATTGAATTATTTTGTTTTCAGAAAAAAAAAAAAGAAAAAGAATTGTGGATACAAACGAATATGAAAATAAATAGCTTATTAAATTAGGTTAAGGGGGTAGAGGTGAAATAAATGGAAATTAGACGAACCATTTAAATGGCATTAAAACAGAAAGTATTGAATGGTACTATGGCCAAAGAGAAGCCATTGTCTACACATTTAAATACAGTCATCTAATTTCACAACGTTTTTTTTTTTATCTTACCATATAAAAAATTTAACTGCTTTAGGGCTTTTTTACTCTTTGACCTGTTCGAAAATTATCCAAAAATTATATTTTTGGCTAAATAAAATTGTGATTTAGAGACATGAATCATCAATAAGAGCCTTTCTTTTCTTCCTTTAGAGTAATTTAATTTAGACTATACACATCAAATATGAATTTGAAGAAGATACTACAACTACATAATCTTTATGATGGTCCTTTCTTCTATATCCTCTTCTCTCCTTGAACTTTCTTTTTCTCTGAGGCTTATAAAATGGAGTAGGCTCGGATTACCTCGATGATCGGTGCTCTACAAAGCGGACATTTCCCTCCGTTTCTTACAAGCTCGTTTGCACATTTTGAGCAAGTACACATGTGCCCGCATCTGTAAATTCAAAGGATTGTTCAGTTTTGAATTTAAGAGAGAAATAAAATATTTGAGCAAAATAGCAAATAGTTAGTTACCTATACAAGAGAGCATCAATGTGGCTGTCACAACAAACACAACAAGTTCCTTTACTTACATGGCTCCATCTTGAACCATCTTCTGATGTTTCCGGGCTCATACCTGTTGCAGAACTCGTTTCTTAGGATACTATATACATAAGATCGCCAAATGAGAAACAAAGTTTGTTGGATAGAATAGGCACGGACCTTGGTCACCTGCAGATCGGTTTAAGGCTGCAGAGACCTCTTGTCTAACCGAACGCTGCAGCTCTAATTGCATATCCATGCAGGCTTCCAGCATCCTCTGCATTTGGCTCATTCCTTGCTGCAGTCTCGCCACATCTCCTCTTAGGTCGTTCATTACCTCCCATTCCTAATGCAAGCAAGTAAAGCAATATCTACATTACACCTTCTAACCAAGCTTATGACATGTCATTGAGTATAATTAATTAGTTAAGGACTCGAGGCTAAAACCCTCAATGAATGGCTTACAATTTCAGACCGATGCATAGAGTGACGAGACCAGCTAGTGTGGTGCAAATCTTGATGCCATATTGGCTGGGGTGGAGGAGCGGGTGGAGTGGGAAGCAGTTGTGGACCATTGATGCCATTAAGCTGGTTATCGTTCCTCACAAATACTTGGTGGTCTGTGTCACGTTCTGGAGAATCTGGGATTGCTGTTTGCAGGTTACCATGCAGATCCCACTCTACGTGAGTGTGTCCTCTCCTTTCAGCATATGATTGTATCAGTTGATCCAGACTTTCACGGAAACCACTATGTAGTAGATTAGAAACACTTCTCCTGCATGCAGAAAAGACGGTAGAAATCATCAATCTAACAGAAAACTAGGTAATAAAGAAAGAAAACAAATCCACTTTTGTCAATTATGTGGCTAAAACCTTTTTCGTACCTGCTTAGGAGCTCCCTGAGTTCCATGCTGTAAACATTGTCATCCTCAGGTGGATGAAACCTATTTAATCTTCTCAATTGTACTGCACGGCGACTCGTTAGGGCTTCTGACCGTGTCTCAGGCCAGTTCCCATCAGATTGTCTAGAGCTATTCTCATGCCAAACCCCATGAGTTTCTTGTGTGCGATATTCATCATCTGCAAATCCACTGGCTTCTCGGTGCATGTCACTGACAGAGGTTTCATCACGGTTTATATCTGTGTTATCATACCCATCAAATTGCGTTAAAGTTGTTTGTTGCAAATTTAGCCTCTCATCTACTGGGCCATCTTCCTGCCAGACCCTTCTTTGATTGGTATCCTCTTCCCAATCTCTATCCGCATTTGCTAGGTTGCTTTCTGAGTCATCAGGCAAAACGGGACTATTATTACCTTGTCTGGAAGAAGTTGAACTCTCATCGGTTACAAGCTGAGGATTCTCAGCAGTGATAGCAATTGCAAGAGCATTTGTGGAATTATTGCTATTATCGCTATCAGTGTTGCTACTAATTTCATGGACAATACTTTCCCTCCCGTTATGGAAGCCTTCCCTGAGACAGAAGCAAAGCCACAGTTGGGCAATTATCAGCAAGCTAGCTAAATGCCAATAAGTACTTGTCTATCAATAAGATGAAAGGACAAAATACGAACACAACAAAAAGATCAGCAAGAAAACAAGCCGAAATTTTTATGTGATATTCAGTGAGCACGCGAGAGAAGATGAGATACAGGGATATCAAAATTCACATTTCTAAAGTCCTTTACGGGTTTGTAGTGTAGTTATATTATTAAGATGCAATAAATCTGATCCTATTAAGTTGAAATTTTACCGCTGACAAGAAAGTGACAGAAAACTGTATGAGAAAATTGTTTTATCCATCAAAATAGAATTTGAGGGAAATCTTACCTTAAGCCAGAGACAGTTTGTCTTTCTCTTA